TGATTCTGTTCTTCATGACCTTAACAAACATGTCATTTATAAATTGAATAAAAATGTATTCTAATCCATAAAGTCTCAAAAATGTGTACACTATACACTCTTCTTAAGAAACTATCAAGAAAGTGCTTCACCAAAACAAGAAAGTAAACCAAGAAAAGAAACAGAAGCTCCAGCAGATAGCAGAGGTGTACAGAGTCTCCAGCATGGGGCAAGGCGATCCCAGCATGACAGCTTATCCTCCCAACAGTGAAGACAACCCACAGAGGAAACCCTGGGGAGTCCAGAAACAGGCTTCTCAGGGCTCTCTTTTATAGCCTCCTGATGAGTAGCTTGAAGATGCAAGACCTCAGACTGCCAGGCCCAAATTCTTTCCTGCACTTTCCTTAGCTTCACCGTGCTTGAATAAAATTCTCTCTTCTCTGCTACTGAGGTTAGTTAAGCACACTCATTTTGCCCTACACAACATCCTGTTTAGACGTGTTCCTAAGAGTCAGAGACCAAAGTAGGAGCTTAGAAGGTGAATATACCAAATGACCCATCCCCTCTGATGCTATTTGATACCAAATATCTGGTACTTGGCCCCACTACAGTCCTGACTACAATAAGAGACAAAACCACAAGCTTTTGTTTCTTTCTTTCTTTCTTTCTTTCTTTCTTTCTTTCTTTCTTTCTTTCTTTCTTTCTTTGTCTTTTCTTTTTTTTTTTGCGGAACCGGGGACTGAACTCAGACCCTTGCGCTTGCCAGGGAAGCACTTATTCTACTGAGCCATCTCCCTAGCCCCAAGCTTTTGTTTCATGTGCATCTACCCTCAGATAGTACCAATTTCTCCTCCCTCAGAAAACTGTTTGCAACTGTTATTTCATTTTTCAAAATGGAACAATTCATTGTACATTGATATGTTTATAGACCATAAAATTATGAAAGAAAATTTAAAATGCTTATTAGAGGACTAAGGAGATGGCTTAGTAGAATAAGCGCTTTCCTGGCAAGCACAAGGGCCTGAGTTTAATCCCTGGTTCCGCCAATAAAATAAAATAAAGTAAAATAAAATAAAATAAAATGCTTATTAGTTTCCTATTATTGCATAAAAACAATCTAAAATTAGCAGCTTAAAGCAACATTCAATTGTCATCTTACAGTTCTGTGAGAAGTCTGGGTAAGCTACACTAAGTGCTAAGAAAAAATATTCTCTTCCATGACTACTCAGGTCATCAACAGATATCAGGTCCTTATGATTGGTAGACTGTGGTGTGCCTGGCTTATTCTACAAAGGGTCATTCATAGCTCCTAGTGGCAGCTCTTTGGCTTTGGCTTGTAACCCCTTTAAGCCTTAAATTTATAAATGACATATGGAGTCTTCCCATGCTTTGAATCTAACTTCTTACTTGATAGGCTCAAACCCACTGGAGAGTCTTCTCATCTTATGGTTGACTTGAGACTTAAATTACACTGACAAAATCCCTTCAAAGCAGTATGCAGGTAGTATTTGATCTTGAGGGGGTGGGAATCACGGGGTGAGGTGATCTCTTTTATTTGCCCCTGATGCTAGACAAACTTCTCTTCTACATCAAGGGCATCTTGGACCAAGAGCTCAGCACATGCCACCTGCCATTCCTAATATTAGAATTAAATGAAAAGGTGAAAACTAGAATGTGGTCAAGAGGCCGTAGCATCTCAGAAAATAATGGGCCAAGTTGTAGATGCTTCTGGCTACTGCCTGGTGATCACAACACTTAGCTTTGGATCTTAGAAATAAAGTTTCAAGATTTTAGTAGTAAACTAGCCATACTGTAACCAAGGGATAGATACAGGACATTTATGCACATGCACACAGGCGAACACTTCAGACAACAGGATATGATTTCTGTGATCAGCTTTTTAAACTCATGACCGCTATTTATGTGAAACTCTCATAGCAAAAGTCATGGCCACATTCACTTATGACCTTCCATACCCTTTAAGGGCCTGGGTTGTGGGAGAAGCTTATAATCTACTTGGTGGAATCCAAGGAAGATGAAACCCCCCCTTTTTTTTTCCAGAACTGGGGATTTAATTCAGGCCCTTGTGCTTGCCATGCAAGCAGTTATTCTGCTGAGCCATCTCCCCAACCCCTGGAAGATGAAACCTTTAAAGTGGCTTGCTTCTATCTGGCCATGAGATCTTGAACTTAGAAATAGCCAAGGATAATGATCCACAAAGATTTGTCCTGCTTGATAAGTTTTACATTCTCCCATTTTTTATGTGCTCTAGTGAGAGTTCTCATTGACTGAGGTTTTATTCTAACAGAAACATAATGATCTTTATTCTCCAATGGCTTCCAACTGCTTAGCTGAATGGGTAGGAAGAGCAGGAAAGAGAGAAGAAAAAGTATTTCTGGAGAAACTTCAGAATAATTGGATCTTGGGGATTTAATCCCAGTTGTATAGAAAGTTTAACTTTATCATTTAGACTTCAAAACTTTAAATCACTTCAGGGAATGAAGAATCCCGATAGCAGAGTGGGATTTAAATGACTTTGTATGTATAGTGAATGGTCCTTCATGGATTTTGCACAGACACAGAACATAGAGCAGAATGCTTAACTTCTACCCATATCAGGTACTTATTCCTTTGCCTGCTGCTCTTCGACTAGATTGGCTATTTTGGTTTTGTAGGTTATTTCAGATAAGTGATTTTTTATTGTCATATTTATGGAAAGGTAAGAGAGTACTCTTACAAGAATGCAGAAAATCCAGTGGGCTTTCTCCATCCCTGGCATCATACCTGGTGAGGTGGAAGGGGGTTTAGGGTGACAGAAAAGAACATGACAGCGGTGCAACAGAAAGTCCAAGAAGGAGAAATTCATGAGATCCTTTAGTCCTTCAGGTGGAATATCTCCAATAGTAACCTATCCAAATGAATGTTGCAGAGAAGAGATCCAGGGAAGAAAGGGGCCATAATGATCCCTATGTACAGGGAAATAACAGTGATTAGTGAATGTAATTTCTTTTTTTTTCCATAATTTTATTGAGAAACAAATAGCAATGAGATAGTTTCAAATCAAGTTGGTAAGACAGTTTCAATAATTAACACATTGCATACTCTCTTCCTAGTGGTTATTTGCTGTACAAGATGCAGACATTATATCCTATTTACAAACACTATCAGAACAAATCCCTTTATTCATTAAGAGAATGTAACTATATAGCTATCCTAACCATTTTGGAAACACAGATACAAAATGGACATTCATCTGTATCCCCTTTTTTGTTTAATTCCATCATTTGAATATTATAGGCATGTTAACTCAGCAAAATATTCTAAAAGAGTCCAGTAGTCCATAGTAGTATTGGGTCTTCCGCACGACTGGCAATGTCAGAAATTGTTGACCTGAGTCCCCTACAGCTCAACATAACACCATGGCTTTACTTCTTGTACTTAGTTTTTATACTTTTCTGCTGGATGGTTAAGACCTAGATAAAGCAAGACCTATGCAACAATAGTTGTAGCTTTTGGGTCTTAATAACTGTTCCAGAAGAGTTTGTCAAGTGAATGAATAAACGATTGAGTGAATGGATCAAGGTCTTGCACGTTGTGAGAAAAAAATCAGAAAAGGGAAGAGAGGCACTCTCTAGTGGTACTTAGAGAGGGAAATAGGTAGAAATTGAAGACAAAGAACATGAGGGATTTTTTTTTATAGAGTCCAAGGAGGGGAGGGGATGGAATTTCAAAAGCAGTTTAGCATTTCTTCCCAAAGTTGAATAAAATGCATCATCCACACATAGTATAAAGTGAACTAAATGTGTGAGTCTGTTTCGAGTACAATCAAGATAATTAAGTCCAGCTGAGTGATATTTCAAATCTCTTTATGGGGTGGCCAGACACTATCAAATAAATGTTGATCAAGTCCCCTGCATTTTATTTAGAACAACACAAAGAACTTCCTTCCATAGATTGTCAGAGTTGTTCTCCAGTTGTTTGGCAAAAGGGATTTTCTCACTGACTCTCTGGACACTTCAAACAACAGAGAATCATGAAATTGACCTGCTGAGTTCCTATAAATAACAAGAAACACAATGGTTGGGTCCAATGAAACCTCACCTGTATTAGGATTCATTCTCCTGGGCCTCTCTGCCCACCCAAAACTGGAGAAGACGTTCTTTGTGCTCATCCTGTCCATGTACCTGGTGATACTGCTGGGCAATGGAGTCCTCATCCTGGTGACCATCCTTGACTCCCACTTGCACACTCCCATGTACTTCTTCCTGGGGAACCTCTCCTTCCTGGACATCTGTTACACTACCTCTTCAGTTCCCCTTATTCTTGACAGCTTCCTCACTCCCAGGAAAACCATTTCTTTTTCTGGTTGTGCTGTGCAGATGTTTCTGTCCTTTGCCATGGGAGCCACAGAGTGTGTGCTCCTGAGCATGATGGCCTTTGATCGCTATGTGGCCATCTGCAATCCCCTTCGCTACCCTGTGGTTATGAGCAAGGCTGCTTATGTGCCCATGACTATTAGTTCTTGGGCAGCTGGAAGTATCACTGCCACTGTACAGACATCCTTAGCAATGAAACTTCCCTTCTGTGGAGACAATGTCATCAACCACTTTACCTGTGAAATCTTGGCTGTCCTGAAATTGGCCTGTGCTGACATCTCCATTAATGTGATTAGCATGGCAGTGGCCAATGTGATCTTTTTAGGTGTCCCAGTCCTTTTCATCTTTGTCTCCTATGTCTTCATCCTTGCCACCATCCTGAGGATCCCCTCAGCTGAGGGCAGGAAAAAGGCCTTCTCCACCTGCTCTGCCCACCTCACAGTGGTAGTCGTCTTCTATGGGACCATCCTCTTCATGTATGGGAAGCCCAAGTCCAAGGACCCACTGAGGGCAGACAAGCAGGACCTTGCAGACAAGCTCATCTCCCTCTTCTATGGGGTGGTGACCCCCATGCTGAACCCCATCATCTACAGCCTGAGAAACAAGGATGTGAAGGCTGCTCTGTGGAGCCTGGTAAGTCAAAATAGGGGGATTCCCAATGATTCTGCGCTCTATGACTTCTATCTGAGGGTCCCAGAGAATTAAATCACCAGAAGGGCCAACTTGATCAAAGACTACGTAGGTAAATCCCATCACACGAGGGGCTCTATGTGAATAGGGTTGGTTTTTTTCAGAGAATTCACCCCATTCGAGAAGCAATACGATAATGCATGCAGCCATTTGTCTAGCTTCCTAACTCACTCTCTCATAAATACTAACCAAACTGAGGACACAGAAAAGTGACTCTTCTAATTTTTATTGCTTAGCAAATAAAAATCCCTAGTCTTCAGGTCTTCTGTTCAACTGCTCATTGGCTTCTTTCCTTGAACATCTTTGAATGGGTCTTTATTTTTATTTTTATTTTTTTCAAAGTTTTATTGATAAACAGATAGCAATGAGACAGTTTCAAATCAAATCGAAAGTACAGTTTCAACAAATAATACACTGCATATATTCTTCTTAGTGGTTAATTGTTGTACAAGATGCGGACTTGTGATCCTATTTACAAACACCATTAGAACAAATCATTCTATTCATTAAAAGAATGCAACTATATATCTATCCCAACCACTTTGACTACACAGATACAAAATGGACATTCATAGGCATACCCCATTTTTTCTAAGTTCCGTTATTGAATATTATAGGTGTGTAAACTCAGCAAAATATTCTAAAAGAGTCCAGTACCCCATAATAGCATTGGGTCTTCCGCACAACTGGCAATGTCAGAAATTATTGACCTGAGTCCCCCACAGCTCAACTTAACAGCATGGCTTTATTTCCTATATTTCGTCTTCATACTTTTCTACTGGATGGTTAAGACCAAGGTAAAGCAGGACCTATGCAACAAGAGTTGTAGCTTTTTGGTCTGAGAAGGTCAGTGAAATGCCCTCAGGATTTATCCTGAGATCCTGTACCTCAGATTGTAGAACCTTTGTCAGTGCAGCCATGTGGATGATTCACGGCCATTGCTTGGCCAATGTGCTCTCTGAAAGCTTGAGAGAGTGTCTTCTCCCCATGTGACTCTCCTTAGGCACACTCTACGTCATCAATCTCTTTCCTCTTTGGCCCCATAAGGGTCTTTATTTTTAGAGTACCATGCACTCCATATTAAGTTATACTTTGAGAGTAAATAATATGTTTGGTTATGTTTATCTTCCTCCTGATCTGTTCACTGTAGCATAAATCCTTAATAAATGTTTTTAATTGTTCTCTCTCTATGTTTCCATAATTAGTCTCTTTCTCTCCTCAACCAAGGTCCTTACCAGAAAATCATTCATTCTCTAGACAAAGACAGTAGAATGTGAAAGGTGTGGGCAAGCTGATGCAAAGATCAAAGGTTCCAGTCTTTTCTCTTTTCGAAGATTTTGCTCAACCATGAGTTTGTCCCTAGAAAGCCGTGATCTCCCATGAAGCATCAGAGTAATGTGGAAGCAGATACCCAGAGAATCACTGTTAACCCGAGAGAACAAAGCTAACAATCACATAAATTGGACTTTACTAAAAAGGAGTTAATGTACACAGAAGTTTTGTCAGCTGACTTGTTTTGTTTGTTTTAGTATAAATTCTTTGCAATATTTTCAGTAGAATCGAGAGGGATTTGAGCCCAGGAAAGTCTATGAAAAGAGCCTAAAAGAAAATATGAGATCTGGGCATGGTGACCAGATCTTATATTTCTCACGGGGGTGGGAGTGGATTGAGTCGGGAGGATCATTGTGTGTTCGGGACCAGCCTGGGCTACAAAGTGAACTCAAAGCTTGCTTGAACTGCATAGTGGGACCCTGTCTCAAAAAGACAAAGAGAAAAAAAAAAAAGATAATATGTGTAGAAGACAAGAACATTTTTTTGAAAATAGAAATAAAATATTATTCATCAAATGAAAATCAAAAGCAATCGATAGAAAAATGCAGAAAAAAAACACTAAAGGGGCTGGTGAGATGGCTCAGTGGTCTAAAGCACCTACTTAGAAAAAGCTAAACTAAGCAAAACACAGGGACCGCGGTTCAATCCCCCAGCACCACATGCCAGCCAGTCCCACCCCCTGTTGGGCTGAGCTGGCCACACAC